CAGAAGTTCAAGTCGGGAGATCAGTCACTTTGTGATGAATCAGACAGTGCCCGCTTACAGGTCCTAGAGGATGAGGCCCAGAAGGCGGCCATAGAGAAGGACAACAGATTTCTGATGAAAGTCATACTTCATCTGTAAGATGAACCACTGAGTACTCCACACACATTGTCAGAAGCCAACAAGTAACAACGACTGACAGCTTGTTTCTCGCTGATTTTTCGGCATCACAATGTACCTATATTTGGTAGAGTGCTTACCAGTGATGAAAAGCGTGTCCTGTATGACACTTCTACACATGTCAGACATTGGTTGTCACTACAAGACCACCTCTACACTCATGCAAGATCATGCTCTAGTAATAGCTATTAGTGTGTGTAGTTATCTTGTAAGGAACTATTAAGAAAGATTAAAGGCAATAATCAAGAATAAAGGTTACACAATTGATTATTGAAGCAAGACGGCCAATAATTCTCTCTTATGTTAAATGCTTTTTGGTGTATTTTTGTGTTATTTTTTGACATTAAAAACTTTTGTGCATCACTGTACATTCTTTCAAATCCATTATTTCATGACTGACGAATAAGGGACATGAAATTTTCATGTAAATTTGAGGAATAACAGCTTCATTTGTAATTATGGAAGTGGGTCAATAATTCTGTCCTCCACAACTATATATATATATATATATATATATATATATATATATATATATATATATATATATATATATATGTATGTATGTATGTATTTACACGAAGGACGTATATGTTTTTAACAAGATTTCTCGAATCTTCAGGCTAGTAGATATAAATAAATAAATATACTGTAAATTTCAGGTATTACAGCTTTATTTGCAATTATGGAAGGGGTTGAATAATTCTGTCCACAACTCTCTCTCTCTCTCTCTCTCTCTATATATATATATATATATATATATATATATATATATATATATATATACACACATGGACGACGCAAATTTATTTTTTCTAAGAAGATTTCTCGAATCTTCACCCTAGTAGATGTAAATAAATAAATATGCTGTTTAATAAATAAATAAAACAGAGCATCTATTCAAATATGAGTATCCATTTAAAAATAACGTTTCCACAAATAAATTAATATATATATATATATATATACACATATATATATATATATACACACATATATATATATATATATATATATATATATATATATATATATATATATGTATGTATGTAAGCAATTTTTTCTTTCATATGTATGTATGTAAGTTTTAAGTTTTATTTTTATCGTAAGTATTATCAGAATATATAATTTTTGAATTTAAGTTATATTATCAAGGCGGATAGTTAATTGCTAACTTTTGTTGCCCCAGAAAACATCCTCGTCACCTTGGTTGTCCCTAAGAAGGAGGGGGATTTGTTTGACGTCATCAAATATGTCGCGTAGATTTTCAGTGCAATACTTAATAACAACCAGACTCTACCTACAAGAGTGTATGAAATCTTACTGAATGGAAAAAATATATTTTGGAAAAAAATATTTGACATGTTTCACCAATATGATGTGACGTATGTTAATAAATTAGTGCTCGATGTAATAACAGAACTAAGAATTATATATTAACTAGCAGCTTGGCCCGGCGTTGGCCGTGCTTCATTCAAAAATCAAACGACTCATACAGCAATCGCTATCACTTGACTTAAAATATTTTTGCCCTTCCATGTCTTTAAAGGAGTGCCCTTTGCCGTGCTGATGTTGCTACATGCCTTACTTCTTGCCTATCTCACACTGCGAATTTTTTCTAAGCTCTATACTAAACATTAAATCAGTTACAAAAAAGAACTAAACAAAATGGACACAAAACGATCAGCTTTAAAAAAGGACTCGTAACTGGAAAAACCGAATGAAAAAAGAATGTTAACAACAAATACTTTTTCACACCCAACCCAGTTCTGTGGAATCAGAATCAGTGTTGAGTTTAAGCAAACGAATGAGCCAATTGGAGTAAAGTGCCATGTAGATTTAAATTTTTCCCACTTGTGACGAATGCAGCTATCGAAAATTTGCACGTTAACATTCGTGTCAGTCAGCTGTTGGCTCTCATGTTGGCCAATAGAATCTTCCTGCCTATTCGTGGCAGCCAGCTATAGGCCCTCACTCTGGCCAGTTGAAACTGGCCGCAAACTACATGAAAACTGCCGTAAAAGCATGAAAAAATCTATTATTTCCACTATCGATGGGAGTTTGGAAATGCAAAGTCGGTCTTGGCCTTCCCGCTAACAACTTAGAGCATGTGGATGTAAACTTCTTCTTTTCATAATTTATTTGCATCCTAATACTCTCTGATTTTTTTTCTTTTCTTCATCTTTCGACTCCGAATGTCAAAAGAGAATGTGACGAAGTTGTTTCCGATGTCAGAAACAACTTAAAATTAACAATTAGGCTAATATTCTAGAATATTCTGGGGTTTTCTAAAGTTTTTCAAAATATATGTGTACTCCATTTTTTTTTATTTCTTTAAATAATTATTCGTCCAATTCCTCTCCGTCTATTCTTCTTCCTCATCCTCCTCCTTCTTCTTCTTCTTCTTCTTCTTCTTCTTCTTCTTCATTTCTCTCATTTTCTTTCTTTTCGTTCTTCTTCGTTCTTTTTTTCATCGTCCCCTTCATCTCAATCACCCTCATCTCTTTCGTCCACTTCTCTCTCTTTCTCCTCTTATTTTTTTCCTCTCCTTCTTCTTCGTCCATTTCCTCTTCACGTTCTTCTTCTTCTTCTTCTTCTTCGTGCTCTTCCTATCTCTCTCTCTCTTCTTCTTCGTCTACTTTGTAGAAAAAAAAGGAAGGTCTCATTGGATAATAGGAGACTTCCACAGGCAGACATAAGTTACCTCCTCTGATATTATATAAACAACTGAATAGCCGGTGGTGGTGGTTTGGGTGGTATCTCGTTGGTACGAGAATAAAGTAATTGAGAATTACTCCTACCATTGCAGATGTGGTTATTTTACACACTTACTCTCCCTCATCATCTTCTTCCTCTCCCTTCTTCCTCCTTCTTCTGCTTCTTCTCCTTCCACTACCTCTTCATCCCTTTCCTCTTCCTCCTCTTCTTCATATTCCGCTCCCTGTCCTTCTTCTTATATGTCTGCTTCTTCTACTTTCACTTCCTCATCTTCTTCCTCCCGTTCCTCTCACTCTCCCTCTTTTTATTTTTATTCTTCTCCGCTTTCTTCTCCGTCTCTCTTCTTCTTCTTCTTCTTCTTGTACTCCTTCTGCTTCTTCTAATTCCACTTCTTTATCTTCTTCCTCCCCTTCCTCTCACTCTCCCTCTTTTTATTTTATATTCTTCTCCGCTTTCTTCTCCGTCTCTCTTCTTCTTCTTCTTCTTTGTCCTCCACTTCTTTATCTTCTCCCCTTCTTCTAATTTTTTTTCTTTTATTCTTTCTTTTTCCTCTTCTTCTTCTTCTTCTTCTCCTTCTTTTTTCCCTTTTTCTTTTTTCTTCTTCCTCCCCTTCCCTTCTTCTTTTTTCTTCTTCTTCTTTCTTCTTCTTCTTCTTCTTAATTCTTCTTTTCTTCTTCTCCTCCTTCCTTTTCTTAATTCTCCTTCTTTATCTTTTCCTCCCCTTCCTCTCCTCTTTCTTTTTATTTTTCTCCGTCTCTCTTCTTTCTTTTCTTCTTCTTCTTCTTCTTCTTCTTGTCCTCCTTCTGCTTTTTCTAATTCCACTTTTCTTCTTCTTTCCTCCCCTTCCTCTCCTCTCCCTCCCTTTTTTCTTTTTTTTATTCTTCTCCCTTTCTTCTCCGTCTCTCTTCTTCTTCTTCTTCTCTTGTCCTCCTTCTGCTTCTTCTAATTCCACTTTTTTATCTTCTTCCTCCTTCCTCTCACTCTCCCTCTTTTTATTTTTATTCTTCTCCGCTTTCTTCTCCCTCTCTTCTTCTTCTTCTTCTTGTCCTCCTTCTGCTTCTTCTAATTCCACTTCTTTATCTTCTTCCTCCCCTTCCTCTCACTCTCCCTCTTTTTATTTTTATTCTTCTCCGCTTTCTTCTCCGTCTCTTCTTCTTCTTCTTGTCCTCCTTCTGCTTCTTCTAATTCCACTTCTTTATCTTCTTCCTCCCCTTCCTCTCACTCTCCCTCTTTTATTTTTATTCTTTCCGCTTTCTTCTCCGTCTCTCTTCTTCTTTCTTCTTGTCCTCCTTTTATCTTCTTCTTTCTTACTCTCCCACTTTTATTTTTATTCTTTTTTCTTCTTCCCCTTCTTCTTCTTCTCTCCCTCTTTTATTTTTTATTCTTCTCCCCTTTCTTCTCTCTCTCTCTTCTTCTTCTTCTTCTTGTCCTCCCTTCTTCTTCTTCTTCTTAATGCTTCTTCTTTATCTTCTTCCTCCCTTCCTCTCACTCTCCCTCTTTTTTTTTATTTTTATTCTTCTCCTTCTTCCTCCCCCTTCCTCCTCTCCCTTTTTTTTTTTTCTCTTCTTCGTCTCTTCTTCTTCTTCTTCTTGTCCTCCTTCTGCTTCTTCTAATTCCACTTCTTTATCTTCTTCCTCCCTCTCTCTTTTATTTTTTTATTCTTCTCCCTTTTTTTATTTTTATTCTTTCTTCTTCTTTCTTTCCTTCTTCTTCTTCTTCTTCTTCTTGTCCTCCTTCTGTCCTCCTTTTTTCTAATTCCACTTTTTTATCTTCTTCCTCCTCCCCTTCCTCTCCTTTTATTTTTTTATTCTTCTCCGCTTTCTTTCCGTCTCTCTCTTCTTCTTCTTCTTCTTGTCCTCCTTATGCTTCTTCTAATTCCACTTTTTATCTTCTTCCTCCCTTCCTCTCACTCTCCCTCTTTTTATTTTTATTCTTCTCCGCTTTCTTCTCCGTCTCTCTTCTTCTTCTTCTTCTTGTCCTCCTTCTGCTTCTTCTAATTCCACTTCTTTATCTTCTTCCTCCCCTTCCTCTCACTCTCCCTCTTTTTATTTTTATTCTTCTCCGCTTTCTTCTCCGTCTCTCTTCTTCTTCTTCTTCTTGTCCTCCTTATGCTTCTTCTAATTTTTACTTCTTTATCTTCTCCCCCTTCCTCTCTCTCCCTCCCTTTTTTTTTTATTCTTCTCCGCTTTCTTTTCCGTCTCTCTTCTTCTTCTTCTTCTTCTTCTTCTTGTCCTCCTTCTGCTTCTTCTAATTCCACTTCTTTATCTTCTTCCTCCCCTTCCTCTCACTCTCCCTCTTTTTATTTTTATTCTTCTCCGCTTTCTTCTCCGTCTCTCTTCTTCTTCTTCTTCTTCTTGTCCTCCTTCTGCTTTTTTCTAATTCCACTTTTTTATCTTCTTCCTCCTTCCTCTCCTCTCCCTCTTTTTATTTTTATTCTTCTCCCTTTCTTCTTCTTTTCTTTCTCTTCTTCTTCTTCTTCTTGTCCTCCTCCTTCTTCTTCTAATTCCACTTTTTATCTTCTTCTCCCTTCCTCTCACTCTCCCTTTTTTTATTTTTTATTCTTCTCCTCCTTTCTTTTCCGTCTCTCTTCTTCTTCTTCTTCTTCTTGTCCTCCTTATGCTTCTTCTAATTCCACTTTTTTATCTTCTTCCTCCCCCTTCCTCTCACTTCTCTCCCTCTTTTTATTTTTTATTCTTCTCCCTTTCTTCTCCGTCTCTTCTTCTTCTTCTTCTTGTCCTCCTTCTGCTTCTTCTAATTCCACTTCTTTATCTTCTTCCTCCCCTTCCTCTCATTCTTCTCCTTTCTTTTTTTCTTTTTATTCTTCTCGCTTTTCTAATTTTCTTCCGTCTCTCTCTTCTTCTTTTTGTCCTCCTTCTGCTTCTTCTAATTCCACTTCTTTATCTTCTAATTCCCCCTTCCTCTCTCTCCCTCTTTTTATTTTTATTCTTCTCCGTCTCTCTTCTTCTTTTCTTCTTGTCTCTTCTTCTTCTAATTCTTCTTCTTCTTGTCCTTCTTCTGCTTTTTCTAATTCTTCTCCCTTTCTTCTCCGTCTCTCTTCTCTTCTTTCTTTATCTTCTTCCTCCCTTCCTCTCTTCTCCCTCTCCCTCTTTTTATTTTTATTCTTCTCCCTTTCTTTCTCCTCTCTCTTCTTCTTCTTCTTCTTCTTGTCCTCCTTCTGCTTCTTCTAATTCCACTTTTTCTTCTTCCTCCCCTTCCTCTCCTCTCCCTCTTTTTTATTTTTATTCTTCTCCCTTTCTTCTCCGTCTCTCTTCTTCTTCTTCTTCTTCTTGTCCTCCTTCTGCTTCTTCTAATTCCACTTCTTTATCTTCTTCCTCCCCTTCCTCTCACCTCCCTCTTTTTTTTTTATATTCTTCTCCCTTTCTTCTTCTTCTTCTTCTTCTTCTTCTTGTCCTCCTTCTGCTTCTTCTAATTCCACTTCTTTATCTTCTTCCTCCCCTTCCTCTCATTTCTCCTCTTTTTTTTTTTTATTCTTCTCCCTTTCTTCTCCGTCTCTCTTCTTCTTCTTCTTGTCCTCCTTCTGCTTCTTCTAATTCCACTTCTTTATCTTCTTCCTCCCCTTCCTCTCTCTCCCTCTTTTTATTTTATATTCTTCTCCGCTTTCTTCTCCGTCTCTTCTTCTTCTTCTTCTTCTTGTCCTCCTTCTGCTTCTTCTAATTCCACTTCTTTATCTTCTTCCTCCCTTCCTCTCCTCTCCCTCTTTTTTTTTTTATTCTTCTCCTTTCTTCTCCGTCTCTCTTCTTCTTCTTCTTCTTCTTGTCCTCCTTCTGCTTCTTCTAATTCCACTTCTTTATCTTCTTCCTCCCGTTCCTCTCACTCTCCCTCTTTTTATTTTTATTCTTCTCCGCTTTCTTCTCCGTCTCTCTTCTTCTTCTTCTTGTCCTCCTTCTGCTTCTTCTAATTCCACTTCTTTATCTTCTTCCTCCCCTTCCTCTCACCCTCCCTCTTTTTATTTTATATTCTTCTCCGCTTTCTTCTCCGTCTCTCTTCTTCTTCTTCTTCTTGTCCTCCTTCTGCTTCTTCTAATTCCACTTTTTATCTTCTTCCTCCCCTTCCTCTCACTCTCCTCTTTTTTATTTTTATTCTTCTCCGCTTTCTTCTCCGTCTCTCTTCTTCTTCTTCTTCTTCTTGTCCTCCTTCTGCTTCTTCTAATTCCACTTCTTTATCTTCTTCCTCCCCTTCCTCTCACTCTCCCTCTTTTTATTTTATATTCTTCTCCGCTTTCTTCTCCGTCTCTTCTTCTTCTTCTTCTTCTTGTCCTCCTTCTGCTTCTTCTAATTCCACTTCTTTATCTTCTTCCTCCCCTTCCTCTCACTCTCCCTCTTTTTATTTTATATTCTTCTCCGCTTTCTTCTCCGTCTCTCTTCTTCTTCTTCTTCTTCTTCTTGTCCTCCTCCTGCTTCTTCTAATTCCACTTCTTTATCTTCTTCCTCCCCTTCCTCTCACTCTCCCTCTTTTTATTTTATATTCTTCTCCGCTTTCTTCTCCGTCTCTCTTCTTCTTCTTCTTCTTCTTGTCCTCCTTCTGCTTCTTCTAATTCCACTTCTTTATCTTCTTCCTCCCCTTCCTCTCACTCTCCCTCTTTTTATTTTTATTCTTCTCCGCTTTCTTCTCCGTCTCTCTTCTTCTTCTTCTTGTCCTCCTTCTGCTTCTTCTAATTCCACTTCTTTATCTTCTTCCTCCCCTTCCTCTCACCTCTCCCCTCTTTTTATTTTATATTCTTCTCCCTTTCTTCTCCGTCTCTCTTCTTCTTCTTGTACTCCTTCTGCTTCTTCTAATTCCACTTCTTTATCTTCTTCCTCCCCTTCCTCTCACTCTCCCTCTTTTTATTTTTATTCTTCTCCGCTTTCTTCTCCGTCTCTCTTCTTCTTCTTCTTCTTCTTGTCCTCCTTCTGCTTCTTCTAATTCCACTTCTTTATCTTCTTCCTCCTTCCCTTCTCACTCTCCCCTCTTTTTATTTTTTATTCTTCTCGGCTTTCTTCTCCGTCTCTCTTCTTCTTCTTCTTGTCCTCCTTCTGCTTCTTCTAATTCCACTTCTTTATCTTCTTTCTCCCCTTCCTCTCACTCTCCCTCTTTTTATTTTATATTCTTCTCCGCTTTCTTCTCCGTCTCTCTTCTTCTTGTCCTCCTTCTGCTTCTTCTAATTCCACTTCTTTATCTTCTTCCTCCCTTCCTCTCCTCTCCCTCTTTTTATTTTATATTCTTCTCCCTTTCTTCTCCGTCTCTCTTCTTCTTCTTCTTGTCCTCCTTCTGCTTCTTCTAATTCCCTTCTTTATCTTCTTCCTCCCCTTCCTCTCCTCTCCCCTCTTTTATTTTATATTCTTCTCCGCTTTCTTCTCGTCTCTCTTCTTCTTCTTGTCCTCCTTCTGCTTCTTCTAATTCCACTTCTTTATCTTCTTCCCCCTTCCTCTCACTCTCCCTCTTTTTATTTTATATTCTTCTCCGCTTTCTTCTCCGTCTCTCTTCTTCTTCTTTTTCTTTTTGTCCTCCTTCTGCTTCTTCTAATTCCACTTCTTTATCTTCTTCCATCTCTTCCTCTCACTTTCCATATTCTTCTTCACTTTCCTCTCCGACTCTTCTTCTTCTTCTTCTTCTTCTTCTTCTTCTTCTTCTTCTTCTTCTTCTTCAATGAATACTTAAATGGCAAAGGAAATATTTCTGTCATTTTCAGTTGCCGTTACGTTATGCTGTCACTCGCAACTACAGATTCTACCCACCGTCCTTCGTGTCGGAAATTGAATTACAGGAAACAAGACGACGCCGACGAAGACGACGACGTGGTGGTTTCTACTGTTGCTGCTGCTGCAAAACGTGTGTCTTGCTGGCAGTTGCCCTGGTACTCATGGGCCTAATCGGAGGACTGTCTTATTACTTTTGGCCAAAAGGTATGTAGCACTTCATCTGAAACGTTCATTTTAACAATAAATATTATTTTTAAATAATGAGAAATAAAATAAATTTAAATAAAAACAAATAATATCATTGCGTATTGGCACTTCGCTTTTCCCTAGACACTCGTGCTAATCTTAATGGAATTCTTCTGCGGCTTTCAAAAGGTCTGTTACTCTGCCAACTTCGCCTGGTGATTTCCCCCTTCCACATTTTAAAGCTCAAACTCAATTTAATTTGTTGCTTATCTCATGAAAATCAGTTGTGACTATTGGTGGTATTTTTTTTATTTTTGTAGTAGAAAGTTTTACATAGTACACCTAGGTTATCTAGAATATATTGTCCTTGTATTTGGTAAGTTCATTATTTCTGTTGCTGCTTATCTATGTCGATTCTGGATAGAACATTACCTTTATCTGACGGCTTCTATGTTTTACAAATTCATCTTTTTTAATTCTGTATATTCAGTTGTATCCATCCCATTTTTCATCAATTCTAGGGAGTGACATTGAGTTACCTCCCTTTGGTATTACTATTTCCAATTGTTTTCTCTGTTCTTAATTAATTGTAGTTAAGTCCGATGATGTATTAGGATGGCCAAGGACGCATTCCAAAAGCAGAGTATTACGAAACAGGAGGATTTCGTTAGTAACAAAGAAAAGAGTACTGAGTTGCTACGTGACATCAGTCCTCCTTTTTTGGACGGTCACCTTAAAGATGAAGAGGCAACGGTGATATGGTTCTACAGAAGGACGCTAAGGATATCATGGACGCGTGAGCAACGATGAGGTTTTGGAGAGGATGCAAACAAGGAGAAAGCAAACGAAATTTCTGGGACACGTAATGAGAAAAGAAGGACTAGCGAATCTGATACTCACATGTCGAACAGAAGGAAAGAGAGACAAGGGAAAGCAACGCGTGACATACATGGCGGGATTAAGCGAGTGGATGACAGAACGGGGTTTGGGTGAAGTGGTAGAGTGACAAAACTCACTGAGAGCAACAAGGGATAGATTCGAGTGGAGAGCCATGATCGGCTACCTCCTGAAGGACATGGCACATAAAAAAAAGAAAATTGCTATTCATATTTTCTCTTTATATTTATTTCGATTTTTTTTTTTTGCAAAGCCTTCAGAATTTGGTAATATTCTCTCTGACCTTATTAAGATATTTTTCTGAGAGTTATTTTTGACACTCTCAATTTTAAAACCAATTTTGAATCTGAAAATAACCACTTCATTATCTCTTCCTATATTAAATTTGTTTCGGTAACTAGCCCCCCCCCCCACGAGGGTTGCATGTGGTACAAGGCCGAGTTTATCGTGGGTTTCCCGAGCCCGTAGGCTCAGCCAAAAAATGCCCGTATAACCCGTATAAACGAGATCGGGTAGGTCATTCTCCCCGAACGAGATTCTGCCCTTCGGCGGAACCTCGTCCGGGTTCCTTTCTGCTCAAAAGCAGAGAGTTCGACCGTCAAGTTGAGAAGCTCGGCTTGATTCATTAAATTTGTTTCTGTTTCTTTACAGATTTTCCCAGCAATTGTGAAATAAATTTACCCAGTTTTCCTCCTTCATTTGTTTTTCTTGTCATTTTTGCTATGTCAAGCGAAAGCTCGTTATCCCTTGCAAAAATGCTCGTTATATTCGAGACTTTGTAGACGCCGGTACTAGTAGTAACGCCTTCCAATCATATTTGCACTAGTAATACTTGTCCAAGTAGTAATCGCCAAATAGTATAATGATCAGAAGAGAATCGTAGAGAGAGTGAACGTATCGAAACAGTGGCTAGACAAGATGAGTGAACAGTGAACGTATAGTAATCACGCTAATTCCTATTTATTCACTTATTCACGTGATCTACTTAATGAAATCGCCCGTGTTAATAACTGGTGATCTAGTTTCAAACCACAGTGTCGGCAACGACACTTACTCTTATACAACAATTTGGCTTTCCTAAATGCATTTAAAGATCTTTTTAAAAATATATGCCAAATGTACAAAGCAACTCCTTTGAAGCAATTTATTTAGGTGCAAATGAATTTATGATTTTACTGGAGTGTATCAACAGTATTATCGATATTATCGATATGCAACAATAGTATCCTTATAATCCGTATATATATATATATATATATATATATATATATATATATATATATATATATATGTATATATATATATATATATATATATATATATATATATATATATATATATATATATATATATATATATATATATATCGTCGTTCTGCATGCAGAGACGACCTTGAATTCGAACCA